CATTCCCGAAGAATTGCCAAATCAACGTGAGATGTTTCCGGTCAACCGGTTGTTTGTGAGGTCCATTATTTGAAGTTTGTACATCTGACAGAAAGAGGATCGAATGTATCCGTATAATTTGTTGTACCTTAGCCTAAGAATTGTCAGATTAAGCAGATTGTTTCCAATCCATTCCGGAACTTTCTCTGGTAACTTGTTGTCTCCAATATCCAAACCCATTAACTGGGTGCAATTCTCCAAATTTTGGGGGTGTTGCCTTATAAAACTGTTGTTACTCAGTTGCAATCATCCCAACGAGTAAGCTCCACCAATGGAGCTTGGAATGGGCCCCGAAAGCTTATTAGATAATAATATTGCAACCTTTATGTAAGATAAGTTAGCCCAACATTGTGGAAGGTGACCTGACAAAAAATTCTTGGAGAGACGCAAATAAAACAAATCTCTCATTTGGCATAAGGAATCGGGTATCGAACTGGTTATCGCGTTATTTGATAGGTCTAAAACTTGGATTCTGAAAGGAAGATTTGGAATAGATCCATCAATATGATTGTTGGATAGGTCTAACTCAGTCAGATTTGTTATGGAATTGAGCCATCTCGGCAGCATGCCTCAAATGCTACAATTAGATAGATGCAAATAGTGTAGTGATTTTTATATTTGAAGCCACTATGGAAATTGGCCTCCAATATCAATGGATGATGACATATAAAGGGATTTTAGTTGAAAAGGAGGGTTCTAATCATACAAATAAGAAAAACATACAAAATGTATGTAAACTTACAACTATTACCAACATTAACTATGTGAATTAAAATGAAAAATAAATGAGTTATATTTTAAACAATTATTCAGTTATTGCATGAAAGAAACACCTTAATTATTGTAACATATAACATATATTATCAACGAATACGAAAATGAGGTAATTACATAATATTTTATGAAACAATGAAAAAGTCATAAACTTTTTAATCTTCTAACCAGTAAAAAAGTACATTTTTTTCAAATATATTATTATTATAAATAAATAAAGAAGTAATATTAAATAGTATTTATCTTACTTGATTATATTAGTTGTAGTCTAATAAATAAGAAATTTGATTGCAACTTCATTATATAAAGTATGTACAAAAAAAAAAAAAATGACGCAATTCATATAAATGTGATCTAGTTCTTTTAATAAATAAATATTATTTGTAAATAGAATAAGAAACAAATACACGATAGTAATTCAATAGGAAAAATAAAAGTACTTATTTTCTTAGAGAAATATGAATACTACTATCTAGAAACAAATGTCTTTTAAAATTACTACTTCTTTTTTTACTAACATCTAAATATATGAACTCCGTAAGAAATTAGGTCTCATAAATATGATCCTACATTATCAAGAATTTTAAATAATTAAAAAAATAAAAACTTTGTAATACATAACGTAAATGTTAATAATAACTGCGTAATAATCTAGTTCACAGAGCGACTAAGAGTATCATAATATAATAGAATTTTAATTCTTATCTTACATATATTTTAATTAATGATATCTTTCTTAATATTGTCTCATTGTTGTGCTTTGTTTTGTTGTTTTGCTATTTTTTTTTCCATGAAAGGATCTTTATCTTGAATTTACGAAGCATTATGTATGTTGCAAAAAAAAAAAAAAAAAAAAAAAAAAAAAAATGGACAATAAAAACATTAAAGATGTTATTAGGCACATAAGTACTGTAGTGAAAGATATTATGATAAAAAACACTAAAATTATTGCAAAAACCAAGATGGTCAATGATTTGCAAACAATATATAGGTTATATAGTTCGTTTTCCTTCCAAATAAATAACATTGAAAAAAATCATTCAGGGCATGATAAATTTTTTTTTCAGACAAGTCGATGATTGAATACCTTTTAAGATCATACAATAATGAAGTTTGATTATATGCTTGGCCAGTATATTTATAAGTTAGTGAATAATGTAGACGTTTTGTCAAATGAATTAAGAAAAAATTTGCAACACTATTGATGTACTGGACTGCAACTAGTATTAATGTTTCTTATGAAAATGTCAAAACTAAAATGAAAAAAATCACTCTTTAATCATCTATTATAATTAAATAAAATAACTAATACATCTATAATAT